TCCGGTAACGATGCTTCTCGCCTCCAGGAAGCCTTCGTGGAGAACCGGCAGGATGGCGTGTCTCGGAGGTTCATCCCGCCAGCCAGGTACAGCCGCTGCCGCACTCCCGGCAGGCCCGGCCCAGCTCGGAGTCTGGCCTCTCCCTCCGGGCAGCTTGAGCCGACGCTGCGGCCGCGCCTGAGAAAGCCTCCCCGTGGAGGGGTCACACTGAATAGCTCCTGTGGCCTCCCAGAGTTTCCCCGGCAGGAGCCCCGTGGCCCCCGGGCTCTCTGTCAGTCTGAACACAAATGCACAGTCCTTGGGGCACTGCTCCTCAGCTGTGGGTCAGCACAAACCTGACAGAGTCCCCCAGATGGGTTGCCCCTGCTCTCCCTTTTCTCTGACCCAGCCCCAGATTATGGTCTGGGGCTCGAGTTGCCTCCCCTCAGTGCTTAGCACTCATCTCAGTAACATTCTCTCCAAGAATGATGTCAACAGAAAGTGCCAACAGTTTCACGCTGATTGGAGAGGCCTCGGATGGTGGCACGATGGAAAACCTCAGCCGGAGACTGAAGGCAAGTGGTCACGAGCTGGTAACTCTGATCCTTGGGAACACAGCATCAGTTCTTCCTGATGCCATCCAAAACTAAACTGCAAAGTTTCCCATAGCATTTGCCTTCCAGAGGCTTGGTTGGTGAGTAGTTGAGCAGAGATAGATTATTTTAATCAATACTTGACCTGCAAAGAAGACTTCTGCTAGCTGAAGCTGCTGAAAACCAGCAGGCAGCTGCCTGTGGTTTCACGTGCACTAATGTGAGCCCTTCCTCCAGGTCACCGGCGACCTCTTTGACATCATGTCTGGGCAGACGGATGTGGATCACCCCCTGTGTGAGGAGTGCACTGACACTCTGCTGGACCAGCTGGACACACAGCTCAACATCACAGAGAATGAGTGCCAGAACTACAAGTGAGTGATCCAGAAATGACCCAAGACAGAGCTGCTGTAGCTTGAGGCACCATGGGCGTGGAGAGCTCAGGGTTGACAAGAGGTGCAAGGGGTGCTAAGGGACTGGGGACTGACAGTGCAGGGCTTACCAGGATACCTGTGTTGGTAATCCTGTTGTTCTCCTTTAGGAGATGTCTGGAGATACTGGAACAGATGAATGAGGATGATAAAGAGAAGCTGCAGACAGAGCTGAAGGAACTGGCACTGGAGGAAGAGCGGCTGATTCAGGAGCTGGAGGATGTTGAGAAGAACCGCAAGATTGTGGCTGAGGACTTTGAGAGAGTCAGGGCAGAGGCCGAGCGGCTGGAGCAGGAGGAGGCTCAGTGAGTGAACTGCACCTGCAGCTTGTGGCAGGGGTTGGAGGAAACAGATAAATGAAGTTGTAACATGAGAATCCTGTAAATGTGCCCAGATTCCAGTGGCTCGCTCTCTGCAGAAGGAAAGGTGGCGAGACCAAACTGGCCCACAGAGTTGTCACTCTGATGTAGAAGCCAGCACTCAGCACTTCTTGTCTTGCTTTTTCTCAAAGGTATCAGAAGGAATACTGTGAGTTCAAGAGGCAACAGCTGGAGCTGGATGATGAGCTGAAAAGTGTGGACAACCAAATGCGCTATGCCCAGATGCAGTTGGATAAATTAAAGAAAACCAACGTGTTCAATGCAACCTTTCACATCTGGTAGTGTAGACACTGGAATATTATATCCATGTTCATGGGATCTGCAGTGTGAGCCTGTTAAGTCATTGCTTTTGACAGGAAAGGTGCAAGCCAGCTCACAGCTCACAGGAAAGCAGTGAATGCCACTTCCCAGGAGTGGCAGCTGAGTAAGGTGTGCCAGGCTGTGGGACTGGGAAATGACTCCTTCAATCCCAGTAACACTTTGGGAACCCCTCTGCCAGCCAGCAGTGACACTGGCATTAGGGTTCACAGAGCAGGCAGTGTAGAGAGGCTGGCTAGGGGTTTTTGTCGTGTCTTTATGACAGAAAGAGAACAGGTGTTTGGTATTTACATACATTAGTTAAGAATAGGCAAAACCCTCTGTGTGCACGTCTGGCACTGTGTGTGCTGTGCTGTTGGGACATGGCCCCTATTTGGTTATCAGGCCAGGAGCTTTTCCCAGCCTAGCACACTTACTTATAATTCTTATCACAGGCACAGCGGGCAGTTTGGCACAATAAATAACTTCAGGCTTGGCCGTCTCCCCAGCGTTCCTGTGGAATGGAACGAGATCAACGCTGCCTGGGGACAGACTGTGCTGCTGCTGCATGCCCTGGCCAACAAAATGGGCCTTAAGTTTCAGAGGTATGTGCAATACCACACACAGTTCATTTGTGACTCAAAGGAAGACAGGCAGACTCAGGTGCCTGTGAATTCTGTCTCCTTTTTTCAGATACCGTCTTGTCCCCTTTGGCAACCACTCCTATTTGGAATCCCTTACTGACAAATCCAAGGTAAGAGATCCCATACAAATAGTGGGACATCGACCTTGAGTGACAGAGCCCTGGTCACAGTGGGGTAAAAGAAACAAAACTTGGTCCCTGTGAATGTGGAGTCTGGGAAAGCTGACTGCTCCAGCTCCTCCAGCATGGTAACATCTCACTCCACATCCTGTATGAGGCCACTGGTGCTGCCTGCCAGCAGTGTTAAAAGTGACAGAACTGTTGAATGACACACCTGGCCAGAGGCAGAGGCCTGCTTTGGGGTGATTGGCAGGTAGATGGCCTGATTTGGGATTGGTGGGAGTCAGGAATGTATGCCTGCACATGGTAGGCACAGTCACACTTGCTCTGTGCCACAAGCCATTCCTCAACATCCCATGACAAATTTAAGCCTCATGTGAGGTTAAAAAGCTGCAGTGACCATATCAAAAACAAGTGCTTGGGGTGCCTGATACAAATCTCTCTTTCAGGAGCTTCCCCTGTACTGCTCTGGAGGCTTGAGGTTCTTCTGGGACAATAAGTTTGATCATGCCATGGTGGCGTTCCTGGACTGTGTGCAGCAGTTTAAAGAGGAAGTGGAAAAAGGTGAAACCCGGTTTTGTTTGCCTTACAGGTGAGTGCTGCCACAAAACTCTGAAATTCAGCCCTTTATGCTCCCCCTAGAATTGCTTGCTGTTTCAGTCCTGATTTTCAGAAATCATCTGGAATTCTTTATGATGTGTGTTTGCTAATTTCATTGAAACTTGAAGTCAGCCCCCTGGGTGGAGTCCTGAGACTTGCTAAAGTGCTTTTAAAAACAGTACAGCATTCTTGTCAGATTTAAAATTTACTGCTTGATGTCACACTGAGATTAAATGTTTGCAGTAGGAGTGCACTAATTAAAGCTTGTGTGTGATACAGGATGGATGTGGAGAAAGGAAAGATTGAAGACACAGGTGGCAGCGGTGGCTCTTACTCAATTAAAACACAATTTAACTCTGAAGAGCAATGGACAAAAGCACTAAAATTCATGTTAACTAACCTGAAATGGGGCCTTGCCTGGGTCTCATCCCAATTCTATAACAAGTAACTGTGGTCAGAACTTGGCCTAGCAGCTGTGGAGTGTCTGCATTGTGTTGGAGAAAAGCAAATTAAGATGTCTCTTAATATTAACCAGTACAAAATGTTTACAATACCAAAAATCCACAAGACACTTTAATAAAAATACCGTTATTACATGTAGTTTATAGAAAAGCAATATGCAAAGTTGTATCATCGAGCTGAACAGAATAAAACCCAGCTATTAAATGTGTTCTACACTCTTTATTTTTGGGGTTTGTGGCCATGCACGTAAATCATTGTCAAATTCAGAACACCCATCAGTTTGATGCTGCTCTGTGTTACAGCTCATGGAAGGTTGGAAAAGCAGAATGTTACAAACATGGGGAATGATGTGGGAAAACTGCCAGAGCTCTGCCTGGTCATTAAAGAGCACTACAGTTTGAAATAAAGTTTTTTCTAAGTCATATTATCACTTCTTTTTGTTACTGAATTTGAGAAGTGTATAACAACATTACAACACTGTAATCCCTCCTGCAGCCTGTTCCTGCACAGGGCTGCAGTGAGAGAACAATGAAATATTCCACACTCCAGGTGTTTCCAGCCAGCAGTGCCTCCCACAGCACAAAGCTCTGGCACTCAGGACACACAGGCTGGGCACTGCTGTGGTGACAGGCACAGCACAGTGTCCTCATCACAGCGCTGGTCACTGCTGGCTGTGGAAGGGCAGGAGCACACAGGCTCCAGGTGCTGGCACAGAGGGGACAATCAGGCAGCTGAGACAGCGGTTTTATAAAAGCAGCAGGAGGAGACAGCGCAGCCCCGTTTGTAACACAGGTGTGAGAGCTGGTCCCAGCAATCCCTGTCCCAGCTGAGAACCAGGCATGGCAGCACTTCTCAAACACAACTACTCTGAGGGGTCTCTTTGGTCAAAGGAAATTTGGACTCAAAAGATGCAGCTCTTACAGTAAAGCTTTTAGGACATTTCTGAACCCTGTGGTGGTGTTGGGTCTCTCTTCAGAGCATGAGTATGATGCCTAGCAGGACGAGCCTTGCGAATTAACACGTGACTGACGGGCTGTTCCAGAATTCAGGTAACCCTGAGCCGTGCTGGGTGCCTGGGCAGTGTCACAGGCACTTTTGTCAGCAGTGTGACAGTTCCTGCTCTGGGCCACTGACTGGATGGACAGGGTGGTTCTGCGTCTGAGGCAGAATTCTGTCCTCAGGAGATTTGGTTCCACAGTTCCCACGGTGCTGCTCAGGTGTGGTGCTGCCCACTATGCGCTTCACCACGGCATAGGAGAACTCCAGGATACTTTGTGAAGTAATACCAGTGATGCAGTTTAAATGCTCCACAACCTGGAAAAAAGAAAAGATACAGCACCTAAAGACTGTGAGCTTACAGACTGGCAAGAGTAACTGCTCCGTGGACACATTTCACAGGGAGTTGTCCCATGAGATGGCTCCTCTACCTGCCAGTGAAACATTGTCTGTGGGGTTTTGTTCTGGCTGTGAAGCACTGAAGGCAAGGACGCTCACCAGTGTCATGCTGCACACAGAACTGCCCCATGCCCTCAGCTCTGACAGAAGCCCACATGCTTCCTGCTAAAAAGACAGAGGTGTCCCCTCCCTCATGCCACTCCCAGTGCAGCCCCACTTGCTGTGCTGAAACAGATAAACCACCTTGGCATTGTTCCTGTAGAGCCAACGCCTTCAGCAGCGACTGTACCTGATCCCAGTGCCTGAGGCTCAGGATGAACACACCTGTGCTGATGACTCCAACAGCCAAGAGCATGAAATCTTCCTTCACTGTTAAAAACTTGGCTCTGCAGAAGGAAAAGCATGTTCAGGTGTAAAATGCTGTTCTGCAGTTCAAAAGCACCTGCTGCTGCAGTTGCCAATGCCCAGGACATGTTGGCTTGTTCAGGCCAACCAAAGCCCAACACCAGAAGCTGGAACTGACAGTGCAAGGCTGGGTTTTAACAACCAAGTGAAAAGCTTTCCATGACTGAAGCAGCTGTGGGAAAGCATGTTGCTTTGAACTGGTGTATTCAGAAATTATGAATACCCCTCAAATTAGTTTGTTTTTTTTAAAAAAACATGCCCCTAAAATGGCATAATGAGAGTATTTATTAGCTTTTTTAAGGGTTTTAATTTCAAAGGGTTATTTGAAGTCATTGTCAGGTAAGGCCCTTACATCTGCAGCTCGCTTGGTGTGGAGTTGTCGATGGCAATCTTCAGCAGAGTGTCATAGATGGTCTCTCTGGTCAGGTAGCAGAAGTCCAGCAGCTGCACACACAGCTGGTGTAAGGGTTTGGCAGGAAGCAAGCAGCCATTGTATCCTGCCAGAGATCACACCATCACTAAACTGAATTAGGAGTGTTAGGTACTGTAAGGGAGAGAGAATTCTGAGGACAGCTGCCCTGTCTGAACGCCACAGGGTCCCTTGGCCTCAATAAAATTTCACTCTGAAATTCAGGTCATCAGACTTGGGCCAAGAAAATTGTAGAAATGATTGTAGAAAATGGCACCAGGTTTGGGGGCTTAATCTTTTACTGAATGAGTCATGACTGGCTGTCCAACAACATTAATCACTTTCTACAAAGGACAAAGTTCTCATCTAAAAAGTGAAGCCCTGGACAATCTGAACAGTTCCACGTGCAAATATCTGGAATATGAGACATTTTGGTTCAGACCAGCAACAGCTCTATGACCCTAATAAAAATCTTCCTTCCCATTCTGTCTGACTGATACCTAGAACCTCCAGAAGCAATTCCACGTAGGCCAACGGAGTTGACACATTGATCTGGTAGTGCAGAGTGTTTAAAACAGCAAGCTCCGACTCCAGCAATTCCTGTTTAGTGTAGGAGTATTTTAAGGATTGCAGAAATTTTAAAGCTGTGTCACTGGTCACTCTCTGAAGAGGAAAAAGAGACAAAATGTCTTCTAGGCAATAAGGCTCTTGGTGGGAACAAAGTGATCCATTACCTCTCTCCTCCTGCCGAGCACCAAGGCTGCCACTCACCCGCCTGTCCTTTGAGCTGGCATGGGAAATCCAGCTCTGACCTTTCCTACAGGTTTCCTCGACTCAATAAACCATCCCCAGGCAGGTGTGAACCCCTGTGGACACACAATTTTTGATAACCACAGGCCAGGATTTTCCAGCACTTTTTTTTCCACCCAGAACTGGGAACATTTCCTAGCAAATTGTTACTGGATGAGCAGCAACCTCCCTGCCCTAAAGGGAATATCGTGTCCTTAGCATTTCATTATCACTACTGTCTTTCAAAAAGGAAATCTATTTTTAAGAGATTAATATACTGCAGATTTAACCATGCTCCTAAAGCAAGGGCAGGCTGAGCAGGCTTACACTGTAGTGCAGAGAGAGTTTGCTGGCGAGCTGAACACACGACACGAGTCGCAGGACAAAGGTGTTGACTATCTGATCCCTCACAGAGCTCCAGCTGCTCTTCTGGCCTTGGCCATGGCCTTTAGCGTTCCCTCTGTCATCACACATCTGTTCTACTTGCTTGATCATAAACCTACAAAACCCGTAACTGCTCAGAGAATGGTTCTGTCTGCTGAGAAAAAGGAAGAAAGGCAGTTCCACGTATACTTAAGAGTATATGTAGAACTAATAATTAAATGAATGAACAGACAAAGCTCTCAACACACACATTTGTCACGTGTGGTTTGGGTGAGTGGGACAGAGTGGGACAGGGCATGGGCAATATAACCCCATCAGAGAATGGGAAATGTGCTCAGTTGTTAGGACTCTTAGTACCTTTCAAGTAACTCCACTGCCTGGTACCGTGTTGAGTGGTTCAAGTGCCATTTTTCAGACAAAAGGAATATAAACTCTGCAAAGAGCACAGCACCCTTTTCAGTCTCCCGAAGCTCACTGTACAGCTGTCAGCTGCCCCGGGAGCTGCTGTAGCCAAGTCTCACCTACGATCCGTGTCTCTTTGAAGCACCCAGCCTGCCCCGGCAGCTCGCTCAGGTACTGCTCATTCTCCGTGGCCAAGTGGATCAGTGTGTCCTCGATAATTTCAGGAGCAACTCCACTGAACACGGGGCCTGAGTCGCGGCCCCGGGGTTCCAATGGCACCTGAGACCCCATTTAACGGGTCCGGGCCGAAGCCGTAATGACAATGATTTCACCGGCCCCACAGGGAGAGGCCGGGACAGGGCTCCGCCACCTCCTCCCGGCAGCGCCGGCTCCGGGCTGCTCCGAGACAGCGCTGGGAGGGACGGGACGGGACCGGACAGCCCCTGGGTGCGGGTGCGCTCGAGGAGGGGCCCAGG